CTGGGCTACATAGTGAGTTCGAGGCCAGCCTGAACTGCACAGCGAGACCCTGTCTCAGCAGACAAATAAGCAAACAAACAGCTGAGCGAGATGAGGCGCATGATAATATCAGTGCTCTGAGGGTCATTTGGTCAACGCCTAACCCTCCTCTTTGGCATGGGAGGCCTGTGTTCAGTTCAGTAGGCTGCACAGTGAGATTTCTACCGGGTTTCTTGCCTGACCTTGGGCAGAGTCGAGGAGAAACGACGCCGTGTGGGGCTGTGACTGCAGTTTAAAGATACGTAGCTCCGCGCCGCTGTCCCCTGGACGCCGGGGTCGTACCTCCTGTGGCGTGAAATGCAGGGCTAGTGTGAGCGCTCCTGGGGTGTCTTCCCCCCAAGCATGCTGGTGTTGCCGCCCACTTTTCCTGGTGTGGCCTAATGGTTCCATTGTGGACCAGCGGAGCTTGCTGTCTCCGCCAGGGTCAGCCAGGCAGACCTAGGGAAGTTGTCGTAGGCCCTGAAATGCAGGATTGGGTCCGACTTACTGGAGAAACCCTCACCTATGCAAACTTCAGGTTCCTGCGGCAACTCTAGTGCCGAGGCGGAAATCAGAAGCCGGGGGGTGAGTAGGTAGCTGGTCAGTGTGAGAGCCCGGTCATCGGGAGCCGCTGTGATACAGAGTTGGAGACTGCAGCGACAGCCAGCCACACCAGCCACCAGCAACAGACTGTGTGTGTTTTGCGCTTAATACATGCCATGCATGGAAAATTTTTACGTATGCATTTATTTTTATTAACTCGGGGTAGGTATTTTTCTTACCTAATTCCCCTGGTTAAAACGGTTGCAGAGAAGTTTTCTTGGGAAACATTGAGTTTTTCACTGTTGAGTTATGTCAGCAGTGGGTTTTTCATAAATGTCCTGTATCGGGTTGAAACAGTTCTATTTGTTAAGTGTTTTATCATGAAAGTTGAGGGTTTTGTCAAGTGCTTTTGCTCTGTTGAGATTATGATATGGTTTTATATTGATAGAGTATATTGCATAATTGATTTTTGGATATTAAATCCTTCAATACCTGGAATAAATTATCATCTGGCATGATTTCTAATGCTTTTCATTTGTTGCTGGACTGAATTTCTACCATTCTGTTGATTTTTTCGTTGTTTTGTTTTTTGGCTGAGATATTGGTCTGTAGTTTTCTTTCCTTATGATATTTTTTTCTGTTTTAGGTATCAAGGTAATACTGCCTTAAAGGATGAGTAGAGAATTTTTCCTTCTTTTTTTTTTTTTTTTTTTTTTTTTTTTTCCGATACCGGGAATCGAACTCACGACCTTGTGCTTGCCAGGCAGGCGCTGCGCCGCTGAGCTAAATCCCCAGCCCCCACTTCTATTTTTTTGGGAGACTTTGTGGTAGATTGGTATAAATTCTTTATCTGGTAGAATTCATCTGGGCCTGACTTTGTTTTGTTTTTGTGGAAGTTACCTCTTGCCTTTCACAGTGGTACCTTGGGTTCAGCGGTACCTTGGGTGGAGGTTCTGGGAAGGCATGACTAGCTCCAGAACAAGTGAGTGCTGAACAAGTTGTTTTGGCTGGAAGGGGCCACATGTCAGGAGGCAGACCACACTGACAAGTTCTAGCTGTCCGTCGAGTGCCAAAGAAATGATGAGTGTCAGGACATTTTCATGTCAGAA